ACACACACATACACACACACACACAAACACACACACACACACAAATACACACACACATACACACACATACACACTTACATGTTCACGCCAAAACACATTATCATACACAGCCACAAAACAAACACACACGCACACATGTAAATACCCACATCTAGCATGACCTACCCGATGACATGCTCCTCAAACCACCAAGACTCGGGGAAGTTTGTCCTCAACGGAATGTCCGCCATCTTGGTCACCTCACCATCGTCCGTCAGACTTATCTCCATCTCCTCTGGCTCCCGGTCCTCCAGCGTCTGAAGACCTGGATAGTATTGGGGGGAGGGGTGGTGACGAGGGAAACATAGGAAAAGGGAGAGGAGGTAGATATTTAGTGGGGAGTCAGAAAGCGGAAACGAGAGGGGAGATGGGAGGTTGGAGGAGGGGTTGATTATGGCAAGAGTGAGGGCAATGTGTATGGAGTTTGGGGAAGGGTAATAAGGAGGATGGGATAGTGAGGACTGAAAAAAATCGATATTAGGGTGTCGAAAGGTTAGGAAGCCCTCTTAAGACTTGAGGCCTTCCTAGAATACTAAACGGAACCTCGGACCGTCAGTTGCATACCCACAAGCCATTTCTATTTTCGTGAGGCCCCTCTCCCCCACAACACATACTCTCCCAGTACTGAAACTATGTTATAGAGAACGAAAATCAACAAAACAAGAAAGCACAACCAAATTAAAAAATATCATCAAAATAGCAACAACAACAACGACGACGATGACGATGATGTCGAAAACGGCGACAACAGCAACAATATAAGAAAAGGCAGAGATGGATTTCAAAAACAAACACAAACTAATTTACTGGCAGGTCTTGAAGATATTGATGTCATGGACAGACCAGGTTGATAATAGTAATATAGTTTTTACATTCTTTTTCAAGGGCATCATAGCAAAGAAATGAATGGCGAATGACTATCATAGACACCCGCTTCAGACGCAAACATCAATTCGAGCAGTTACATTATCATCAACACCATCGATAACATCGACAACCCCAACACTTTCGTCAACACCAACAATACCACCGCCAACAACATCAACAACAACAACAACAACACCAACACCATGATGATGAAACAAAAAGTATACAGATCAGCGCTCATAAGACGTTATGTTTGTTTGTTTGTCTGTTTGTTTGTTCGTTTGCTCGTTTGTTCCATTGTTTGTTTGTCAATTTGTTTGAATGACGAGAAGTACATCGACACAACAACGGCTTTTTAGTGTTGGGAAAAGGAAAGTCAGAGAGTCAGAAACAACAGAGGTAAAGTAGAGACGTAGGACCTACCTGTGGCGCCCTCCAACCACCTGCCTTATGTAGTTGCGAGCGCTCTAACATTCTTACTAAACTAGAACAGCATGTAGGTCTAAACACACAAACCTTCAACCGTTGCTACACGCAAAGCTTCAAACGATGAGTATCGCTTCTGCTACTCACGCGCTCTCTTGGCCCAGTTGAACTGTCCCAGCGCTGTGTCTCTGCAGCAGGAATAGAACTCCCGGACACACAGACCGGGGCCGAGCGTCATTTTCAGCTGTTGACTTATGTGGTAACACAAAGGCAAGGTCGCGTTCTGAACCTTTGCCCCCTCCAGGCAACACACGGCCATCATTTCCCGACCTGAGGAAAAATACACAACAGAAAGGTTGCTTAAAATTTTATTATACGTTTGATTGATTATTTATGTCTTTCACACTTTAGAGAACAAAAATTTGCCCTTAACTGAAAATAATTAATTTGCTTGATTCTGCAGGTTTTTTTTACGCTTAGCAGAAAACCATATAATATGTACATTATATTATATGCAAATGCTGTTGCTTGATTCTGTTTATCTCTAACAATAAACAACACATTGCACTTGAATAAAAACGCTGTCCTTAATTTCGTATCTTCATGACACCAAACACAACACAAAAGTCTTCCCTTCACCACAAAGGCATCAATGGTGCTTTTCTACGGGTCGAACTTCTCGTTTGCAACAGAAAGAAAATCAACAAAAAGAACATTAACACCAACATAAACACCGGTGCATTGAGTGACGTTATTGTCACCACCAAAGACAACAATTAGAGCGTCGACACCAACATCGACATCAGCAACAACACCAACAAACACAACACTCACAGCAGCAACAACACCAACAAACACAACACTCACAACAGCAACAACACCAACAAACACAACACTCACAACAGCAACAACACCAACAAACACAACACTCACAACAGCAACAACACCAACAAACACAACACTCACAACAGCAACACTGGACCTACCATTAATAATCAACAAAAACTCCAACACAAACAACAACACTAAGGCTACCACCACCATCAACAACATCAACGCCGAGAAATAGCCACCGACCAGAGTAACGTCACGAACAGCAACATTAACAACACCACCGACAACTATGCAGCAACACCACAACAAAAACAACAACCACCATAACAAAAATACAACAACTGCAACATAACAGCAACAACAACAACAATAACAACAGCAACAACAACAACAACAACAACAACAACAACAACAACAACAACAACAACAACAACAACAATAACGCCAAACGCAGTAGCTGGCGAAAACCGAGAGAATGAAGACCCCGGATGGGCATAGTAGGTCAAGTAAATTCCGAATGGAGGTCTAAAATCTACTTTTACCATCAACACTATAAAGCCATTGAAGAAGGAATATTAATTGAATGTTTGTATTTTGTTTTTGGGGTTTTATCTATGTAGCTTTTCAGACTTGCAAAAACAAAAGTCCTAATGTGTATACCATTTACATATTATTAGGTGTGGGTGCGGTATTGCAGTCACGGATAACTGTTATCAACTTAAGACAGGTAAGCTGCCAATAGAATTGAATGAATTTACAACAAAATGAAGTGTTGGAAGGAGCTGGAATTGAAGATATCAACACGACCATAAAAAAGAGAAGAAATAGATTGGGATATTATGTTGGAGAATGACGAGGACAAGATTGCGCTCTCAGACATGGTATTGGAGACTATGTGGAAAAAGAAAAAGAGGTAGACGACCAACTGAAAGTTACAGAGGCACAATCAGGGATGAGCCAATCACCCAGGGTCTGGACGTGCCGGGGTTGGAGGAGGTAGCCAGGGACAGGCAAGCGTGGCGTCGACGAGTAAGTAAGTAAGTAAGTAAGTAAGTAAGTAAGTAAGTAAGCAGGCAAGCAAGCAAGCAAGCAAGCATGCAAGTAAGTAAATAAGTAAATAAGTAAGTAAGTAAGTAAGTAAGTAAGTAAGTAAGTAAGTAAGTAAATAAGTAAGTAAGTAGGTAAGTAAGTAAGTAACTAAGGAAGTAAGGAAGTAAGTAAGTGAGTAAGTACTGGTGTTTGTGTTGGTGTTGATTTTTTTTTCATATACGTCGACTAGGGAGAGAGTAAGTAAGTAAGAAAGTAAGTAAGTAAGTAAGTAAGTAAGTAAGTAAGTAAGTAAGTAAGTAAGTAAGTAAGTAAGTAGGTAAGTGAGTGAGTGAGTGAGTGAGTGAGTGAGTGAGTGAGTGAGTGAGTGAGTGAGTGAGTGAGTGAGTGAGTGAGTAAGTAAATAAGTAAGTAAGAGTAAGTAAGTAAGAAGTAAGCGAGTAAGTTAGTAAGTAAGCTGTCAGATCACCCGAAATGAAGTCGTTGACCAGTTGTTTAGATGCACTAAGCACAAACATTTTAAAATGTTTCTCAGTACAGTTACTTGATCCGTTGTTTTGGATGCTGTGCACGAGAAATACTTTGTCGAAATTCAAATTCTAAGTGAAAAAAACCATGAAAAGATACACAATTTAGGTACAAATTGTTATTCATAGTAGTTATTTCTCCTTTTGCTCAGCTAAATTACGTTCGTCACCTCCATACTAAACACGATTACATCACTTCACAGATTAAGTGCTACCATGCACAACGAAAAGGCTAAGAAATCGTTGTAGTACCTTTCCCAAGTGGGAATCGAACTAACGTGTTTCGTGAGCAAGATGAAAAACCTAACTACTACACCACAGACGGAGGGGTTGGGGGGGGGGGGTGAAAAAAAGAGAGACAAAACAAATCAGACGAACCGCCAGTCTCCTTCCTCTACGTCAAGGAATGTGATCACAGTGTCGAGCTGTGTTCCTTGCTGCGCGCTTGTTATAGTAGCTACATATTGTTGTGAACAGATGAAAAGAACGAGAGGACACACTAGGAGGAAAGGGGAGAAATAGGGAGAAAAGGAGAAGGGGAAAGAGGGAAGATGGTAGGAGGTGGGGTTGAAAAAAAGGGGAGCGGGGCAGGGGCGAATTGGATTCGTAGATGTTATCAGAACAACCAAAAAATGTAATTACTGACTATTACATCTTCTGACGTGTTTCAACAAAAATGTATCATAATCTTCTTTTTTAAAATGAAGTAAAATCAAACACCCTGTGGTTATATTATCAAAATTGAGTGGCGACATTAATAATACTATTTCAGTCCAGCTACTAAGAGAGCACTCTGTGAACTTTTAAAAGTACACCTCACATAATTATCACAATTATCTAGAGCTGTTGAAATTACCCTTCTTTGAGTTATGCGGATCTCTCTTCCTGAACAGTGTAATGTTGATTGAGATGATAAAGGATTTTTTAAAATTGTGGCTGATTTATGTGAATTGTTTCATTGTATGTCAAATAGATCTATATCAACTTTTACTTTGTTTATTCAACACGTGTGGTGCAAAAAATGTGTGAGCGTGGGGAATGGGGAAATGTCTGTGTGTGTGCCCGTGTGTGCGTGTGTGTGTGT